ATTGAGGTCAGGATTGGCCAATCTAAACGACAGACACCAACTTCTTGCATGTGCACTTCCACGTCGCCAGAACGGAACGGGCAAGCATTGTCATCCATAAAAGTGGAACCTTCTTCAAGTGCAGTCTATGCGGAATGTGCAATTGGATCCAGGACTTCCTTTGTGTACCGGTGTGCATTTAATGTTTTATTTTCTATGAAAAGTAACTCCATACGCTCCGTCGAATTAATTGCTGCCCAAAACACAACGGAGCCTAACATAAGAAGTGTATTTCTTCGAAACACGCTTCCGCATAGAGTTCCCTTGGTCTTCGCAGCACTCGCTGGCGTCGGTCCTCTCCACAAAATTAAATTCACGGGTCATCAGAAAACAATACTTTATCCCAGTCCTCCAGAGACCATAAAGCACAGTTTCGAGCAAACTGAAGTCAGGCAACACGGTGCTAACGGAGTAATTAAGGGTCCCGGGCTGGGCTGTAACTCCTGATATGGGTAACCAAAAGCCTCCTCCTGACGGTCCACAAGCTAACTTCTTCTCCTCTTACTCCTTCAATGCTCTTCTTCAGGTCTACACTTGACGCCTTACAATTCAGCAACGCCTGACTTACAAAAAAACGGTCAACCCTTGGTTTTGTGCATTGTTTTCTTCCCAAACCGGGTCTTCTTTTGACCGAACCGGTCTCTTGATACCGTTGCCAAGTCATCTGGACAGTTTAATGCCTCATATTTAGCCGCTGTAACACGCAAGTTTGCGAACAACTTTCTTCAAGTAGGGCTATAATTTAACTGGTCCTTATTGCTTTATCGCTCATATCAAAAAGTGTTCATAACTTTTTAATGTAAAAATGAATATTTAATGATTCAATAATAGATACATTTAAATAAGAAAACTTAAAAACTACTTAATGTTTACAATATACAATCCAAATTCCCGTAACCTACTTAACTACTAAAACAATATAAAATTTACAAAATAGAAAGAAAGTTTATATTCTTCATTTATATAATATTTATTTTTCTTTTGTTAATATCAAAATTTTAATTCGGAACATATACAGAGTGGTCCAACTAGTGACGTCAACATTTTTTTTAGATTCCTCACACCTAGGGGTATCTGAAAATACCCCATGTAAGTTCCGCGATTTTTCTCTGTTTCGAGTTATAATTTTTTTGTGTATTTTTAATGATTTTTGCCAGCGAGGTTTCAAAAATTCTTATCTTTTTTCGTAGTAGGTATTTTGCAGTCTTTTTTTGTGATATAATTGTCTTAAATGTGGTTTTAATAAAAAAATAACTCAGTTTCCTGAAATTACTTAAAGTTACTCAAAAAAGGCTTCAAAGTTGGAACTTTATTTTTTAGTAGGATTTACTCAAACATTAGTACAAAAAGGAGTTTCCATAGCTTCTGGTTAACTTTAAAAACTGCGCATGCTTTTAAACTACCAAAAATCATAAAAAAAAACGTACTTAATCAGTCTATTTGTTGTAATTGGCCTTCGAATGCGGATAAGCTAAAAATCATTGAAACACGATTAAAGCATTTAAAATTATTTTATCTACTTTTTATCATTGATATGGTAAATTTAACTTAAAAATGTAATTTCAAATTTAATTTAATTGAAATTCCTGTAAAATAACTTTAGCATGTGTAATTATAATACAATAATTTCGGTTTCACCACTAAGATTTAAAATGGACGTCACTAGTTAGACCAACCTGTATAACATGCTGGGATGCTTCAAATAACATGCCAATACATCGTCAAATGAATTAAACCTCTTCCTTGTAATATTCATTAAAGTTGAGAAAAAAAAACTAAATTACCCGTTTTTTGCAAAGCACTCATTACCCGTTATCAATATAATATGGTAGATTTTGGTAATAAAGAATTGCTGTTCGAAGCGTCTAGTAGCATAGACATTTTCTTACTATGGCGACATTTATCTAAGTATTTTTCTATACTTACTGTGTTCATAAAAAAGAATTACCTGATATTGTTAGCCTCAACTACAGTACTACTTCTACTAACTACTACTACTAACTACCTACTACTAGCTAGTCATATTACTACTATATTCTAAATGATGTAATGGAAGGTGACTTCAGAAGTGTCTCTGAAGTCATTTTTCAACTTGATGACTCTGTATACTGTGTCTGTTTCTTACCGGTTCTTCTCAGTACAAGGTCTCCCGCCGTCTCCCGCCTGCCGGTCGAGAAGCTACGCCGATTGCGTAGCTTCTCGACCTTCAAAAGTGCTTGTAACAGCCTAGACTGAATAACTGATTTTTAAGTTTGATTATATTTAAAAAATCTCCTGGGGAGACATGGATGTAGAGATCTCCATCAAGCAATCAAAATAGTAACGCTAATATTTAACGCCATTTCGTTTGCATGATAATATGCATTTTTTTTAAAAACTGAGTAGACAAAGAAAGAGTTGCTTTTTAAGGAATGCAAGCAAATATTCCCGAATTCGAAAACTTCCCGCATTTATCTGATGATAAAGTAGGTATTCCGTTTTGCATTAAGGAGCTATCATATTAAGCTTGCCAAATCTTACTACGCTGAGCACATGGCCTTTATGATATAGAATTATATCGTGATAATGACTTACACGATTTACCGCGATGGAAAATCTTACTTAGTAATGTTTGCCTATATAGTTCACAATAAACAAGTTCAGTCGCACCATGTCCAGTCACGAATTCATTGCAGATATTATATTTGATTATTTTTTGCATAGAAATAAACAACTTTTTCGGCGAAATATTTTTTTTCAATTATAGTTTAACTCCATAGATTTCCCAAATTAAACAGCTATTTTATCTTTTTTTTGGGTACGAATGAACAAATCGACACAAAAAACAGAATCAATAAAAAAAACTCGTAAAAACAATTATGTTTTTATCCTCAGAAACAATAAATAATGCCTACATTTTATTATTCATTTTTCATCCACCCCATCGATTGGGGTACCGTTGTTTATAGCTCGTTTAGTATACAAAACTTGTTTTTTATGTGGGAGATCAAAATATGTATGAGTAGCCACCAAAGACAGCTTTTATTACAAAATCTTGTTTCGAAAAAATTTTATTACCCATGACCTAATGCCCCCACTTGCAATTTCGTAATAATGTTACGCATAGTTTATCTACAATCCCTACCTAAATAATTATCAGTCAGATTATTTCTTTGAAAATTTTAGGCTTGTTAATGAAACTCGAAACGGCACGCACCGCTTCTATAACTGAGGTGCATCCATTTTTATTAAATGTTGATTATTTAATCGAAGCTAAGGCTATAGTGGCAAAAATTATAACCTAATATTTGTTTAAGAACTTTTGAACGGGATAGATAAACAATGATTGAAAGCAAAAACTTTGGTAACTATTTAATAAATTGGTTTTTAATGGGAATTTTAATTTATTACATTGTTCTTGACGTTTCGGACACTTAAAAGGCTTCGACGTCGCAAGATGCCTGTCCGTTGAAAACGTGTTTTATGACATGATTTTTACGTGCGCGCAAGCATTAATTTTTAAGTAGTTTAAACCTTTTGTTTCTTGCGTGCACCAAAATAAATAAAACCACTTTCGCGGGTTGCAAAGCATGTTCAAATACATTATTATATACATAACATTATCACGGACGCAATGAATATTGTGTCTGTAATAATAATATTAAAGTTTAAAATAATTTCCCATAAAGTGCTCGCCCCGTCGCTGCCATGGGTTCGTCCGTCCATCCAATTCATCCGCAACTTAGCTCAGAGACTATAAAGATGGCCATCATGCCGCTTGATCAAGTGGCTTAAATTCAGTAGCATGACAGAGACCACTCACGTTAATGCGGCAGGATGCGCCGTCAGTTGACGCAAGGAAGCGAGCGAGTGTCGAGATGTCTTGTGCAGACGACGACATTGCTCTGGTCGGTTTGACAATTGCTTTAAGTATAAAAAAATAAAACTGCGTTTTTGGTGCAAACCGTGACAAAAAAGAGAACCACTTACATTTATTACAAAATTTTTACATTCGATACCCACAAAAATTAAATTACTCTCCACACATGTTGTATGTTTGGCTTGATCAAGGCTATTTGTTCAAGCCACTGGATCAAGTAGCATGGCGGTAAATGGTCATCATTTAATACTAGAATGTTGTAATTTCGTTTGAGTTTTTGAAGTTATACTTCTTTAGGCGCGTTATGAAAAAATGATGAGAGTGAAATTTTAAGATGCGCGCGCATCACTGTAACACAAAATTTTAACAGCATGAAGTTGGTCGCTTTAGCGACCAACTTCATGCGTTACTTTTGTGTTTACCGCACATTAAGAAAATCTACCAACAAAGTAGAAATAGAATCTATATTTAGTGGGTGCTAACGACTGCATTGTGAAGGCCTATCAAAAGTATTTATTAATCTGGAACAACGGAACCAAAGCGCGATTCAGGAGACTACAGCGCCATCTCTTGACCATTGGTGTAGTAGAACCAAAAACCACATTTTTATTTTTTGTAATAAAGTAACAGTTATAATTATTCATATTTAAAATATCAAAAGTATTTATTAATCTGGAACAACGGAACCAAAGCGCGATTCAGGAGACTACAGCGCCATCTCTTGACCATTGGTGTAGTAGAACCAAAAACCACATCTTTATTTTTTGTAATAAAGTAACAGTTATAGGTATTCATATTTATAATATTTATCCACATGTTTCTAGTTTGTATATTCGGAATACGTGTTTGAGTTTCATACAAGTGCAAATCACATATGTTCTAATAAATTATATTCAGTAGCGATTTTAATTGAATATTTTGATTATTTATTTATTTTTTCAAATTGAAACTGAACTTTATTGACTTCGTCCTTTTCCAGACTTTTTATTAATTTAATGTAATTAATTATTTGCAAGCAATTAAAAACTAATTTTAAACGATGCCAAAGAAGGATAACTTCTCACGCGCCTACATAAGTACACGCACCCATTTTTTTTTGTAGAATTGAACTACAACAAACAAAATGATGTCTACGCACACAGTAGTGAAGAAGCGAGCAACCGTATTCCGCGTGTCCAACGAGGTCATTTTCCATCCTCGCTCATGGTAAGGTTGGGAGTTTCTTATTGGGGCTTAACAGAGGTACATTTGATATATTACTGAACGAAGAGATGGCGCTGCCTTGCAGCTTAAGGCTAGGAAAATTTCGACGCGGCGAATAGGGCCGTGGTAGCATAATGGTCAGTGCATTCGCCCGGATTGCGAAGGATGCGGGTTCGAGTCTCGTCCTGGTTCGCGTGGATTTTTTTCTAGTAAACTTTTCTTTAGATTTAAACATCTAGCAATTAAATGCTTAAAAAATAAATAAAAACATGGTAAAATGGTTACATAATAAATAAACTTGTTTCAATTATTTTATATTAAACATGTAACAGAATTTACGACCTGACTAGGTATATATATATGTGTGTGTTAATAAAAAAAGAACATTTTTGTTGCTTAGGTTTTCCCACACATCACTCATTACATAAAACAAGTTTCAACGGTATAGATGCACTAATATGTTTGTTTTTAGACGTTTCGCATCCTTTTGAGGGCGCGTCGTCAGAATTATGATGATATAATTCTGTGAAATTAGAACAAAAATTTCAATCACATCAATGTCTAATTTCAAATCACATGCGAATTCCGTGAATGGTAAACAGTGAGTTTGTTCTTGAGTTCTTACGAATCATCCCTTACACACCAGAAATGAGATCCGGTTAAGTATGTAATTAATGACATATTACTGAACTTCCTTCAAAGGAATTCAGTAATATATCATTAATGACCGCTGCTTGGTTGTTCTTTGGGGTTAATATAGTTCTTTCGCATAATCACTCTATTGATTTTTCCGAGATAAGCGCAACGTCTGGATTAATTTTTGAAATAAGGTTTTCACTTGTTGTTACTGACGTGCACAGATCGGAAGGGACAGATACCATGGCACCTTTTTCTGGGTAATCATCGTTACCCAGTTTTAGCAAAAGACCCGAAAATTGGCTAGCGGAAATATCAACTACAAGGTGGACTCTCATATTTTTTGTTAATTTTGAAATTTTAACCTTGGGCCAAAATATTTTTTAATTTAAACTTTTTTTATCAGGAACGTTTCCTGATAAACTAAAAGTCTCTTTAGTCAAACCGTTACATAAGAAAGGGGACAGAGAGAATCCGGATAACTATCGTCCTATTATGTTAATACCGATCCTTTCAAAAGTCTTCGAAAAATGCATGCTAAACCGGCTCATGAGTTTTTGTTTGAAATACAATATTATAACAAAAGAGCAATATGGTTATCAAAAAGAAAAATCTACATCGCTGGCAATGTTTGATCTTATGTCAACAATATTGACAAATCTAAATAATAGCTATTTAACAACGGGGTTATTTTTTGACTTGTCAAATGCCTTCGATTGTGTTGCTCACCCGAGACTATTAAAAAACTAGAATCCTACGGTATCCGAGGACCCACCTTATTATGGTTAGCATCCTATCTAAGCGGTAGGCGCCAAAAAGTTATTTTTAGCAAAGTAACACAAAATGAAATGAAATCGTTCTCATCTAGTTTTAGGGAAATTCGGTGTGGCGTTCCACAAGGGAGCGTTCTAGGACCAATTTTATTTATTTTATATATCAATGACATAACACAGGTGACTCGACATAAATGTGTTTTATATGCCGATGACATATCAATAATTGTAACATCAAATACCATTAAAAACAATGACTCGTTACGAACACATTCATCTGACATTATTAATACTATTGACATGATCATTAAATGGCTTAATGCAAATAATCTTAAAATTAATATTAATAAATCCTATTATATCCAATTTAATAAATTTAAACATAAAAAATATAATTTTACATTAGACGTAGCAAAAATCAAAGAAGTAGAAAGTTTAAAATTCCTAGGTGAAAACATTGACAAAGATACAAACTGGAAAACCCATATAGATATGTTAAGTCAAAAAATAAATAAATTTGTGTATGCTCTGAAAAGCATAAAAAACATAACCAATAAAAAACCGCTGTCATGTGTTATCGTGCATACATAGAATCTATCCTTCGGTACGGAATTATACTCTGGGGTAATAGCACGGATAAGAATAGAGTCTTTATTGCACAAAAGAAGTGCATTAGGGCAATATGTGGAATCCCGCCAGACCAATCGTGTAGACCATTATTTGAAAGTCTTGGATTGTTGCCGCTGCCATCGCTGTACATATATGAATTAGCAGTGTTTGTCCACGGACACAAGCAGTTGTTCAAGAGGGTTAATAATTTCCGGCTTAGAGACCCTTACAGAATGATATTTAATGAGGTTCCAAAGTCTGACAAATATAGGAAAAGTTGCATAAGCCGTTGTGTCGAGATCTATAATAAAATCCCTCCCGACATAAAAATGCTAAATATGAACATGTTTAAAAATAAATTATATAAATGGCTAAATGAAAACAATTTTTATGACCTAAACAGTTTTTTCAATTATAAAAATTAATGACATGTTTTAACTTATCCTATAATAAATATGATAAACGTATCTTTTTATTTTTTTTTATATCTGACATTTAGAAATCTTGTAATATTAATATGTTGACATTGTATATTTTATTGACATAATAAAATATACAATGTCAATAATTAAAAAAATCAATAGGGTTGAGGTCAGGCGAGCGTGGTGGCCAGGCAATTGGCCCTGGTCGTCCGATCCACCTGTTGGGGTAGGTCTGCTCTAAATGGCGACGCACTTGTGTCGCGTAATGACATGGCGCCCCGTCGTTCTGGAACACCATCGTTCTTCATCTTAATTCAAGATTTACATCTTCCAGTAATATGGGTAGATTGTCTTCTAAAAAACTTTTGTATGTGTCGCCATTGAGACCAGACCTACCCCAACAGGTGGATCGGACGACGGATCGCCAATTGCCTGGCCACCACGCTCGCCTGACCTCAACCCTATTGATTTTTTTATCTGGGGCTACTTTAAAGAAATTGCGTACGCCAGAAAAGCTTCGAGTGAAGAAGAACTGAGAGCAAAAATTCGCGAAGCTGAAACCACTGTGAAAAATAACCGTGAAGCTTTTAGGCACCTACAACATAATTTTTTGCGCAGATGTAGATTGTGTATTTCTGTGGGAGGGCGAAATTTTGCTTTAAATAAATGTATTTTGTTAACAATTAACTGCGTTTTACTCAAATCCATCATAACTGAGAGAAAGGCAAAGATTTAAATAAAAGAAAATAATTATTTTTTTTCCTTGAAAAATGCCTTAATTTACTTACAGAAAATAAACCCCCATTAACCCTATTATTTTTATATTATTTGACCTTGTTTTAAAGTTTAAAGTTTAATGTTTCAGAAAGTTTCTAAAAGCACTTTGAACTCCAAATCCCCCCATTTCCTTTTTTTTTTGATACTTTGAAAATTTGTGTGTACTGAGCTCAAATCGTAATTTTGAACTTTCGAACCAATTCTAAGTGAATTCTGCAATGCCTAGATAAACCATACGTTTTAGGATGATAGGTTAGACTATGTTAGTCAGTTATTACAAAAATAACTGAACCAGAAACGTCCAACAGAATGAGAAAAAAATCGAAAACCGATGTTAGGTGAAAATTACGAAAAAAACTTTAAAAAAATTATAACTCGAAAAGTACGCAAAATCGTAGAACATACATGGGGGTGATTTGGATACTCCTCATCATAAAGTATCTAAATTTTACTTTTGAACGTCAACTCCCCGGCCACCCTGTATGTGGCGATTGACATAATGTTGTATGCCATTTGTCGTCGTTTTCAAGCATGCCTGAAGCCTTGCGAGTATGGTAACTGATAAGTAGGGTGTACTAAATCATTTACTATTTTTGACGCTTCAAATGACGTGGGGCCTCGAATTTCATTGAGTAAGTAGCATTCGAAGATAAAAGCATTCCGTATTGTTAGGATGTATCGTACCTATACACTGCTCAGAGCATGTTCTTTTTTAATGCCAGGCCATCCACTACTTTTACTCCACTTTTCCTCCTTTGCAATCGTGAATTATACCTGGTAATATAAGACGGTTTTTACAAAATCTTCAGTACGACACAACTCAAAGAAGGCAAGAAGTGTTGTATTTGATAGGTTTGTAAGTTTATCTGCAAGGTTTTGCTGCATAAAATATACTATTTGGCCATTTTCCAGATGGATCGCAAGATGAAACACGATGGGTTCATGAATCGGATATCCAAGAAAATTCGCCATACCGCTTCTGAACTACTTATTTTCCTCCCACTTTATAAATCTTTACTTTACCTTATTCATTTTCTAAAGCAAAAGTTTATGTATTTGCTTACGTATTTTATCGATTAAACAAAGGGACAATTCGATGTTTATATGCGCGTTAAATATTCTCAAAAGAACTGGATCATATGGAACTACCCAGCTGTTGTCAATCTCTACTCCAATAATGTCAAATGCAAAGCCATCTATGTCTGGAGGAAGTCTTCTATATATTTTTATTATTATTATATTCTTTTATATTGTGGGTAGCTATCGTCCCCGGTTTGTGTTTCACTAAGTAGTGGCCTGGGATACCTCTTAGAGCAATTTTTGGTTTTCATACAAGGTGATATATGATTTTATCTTCCGCATAACCCATGTATCATTTTGAAATTTATTATTTCGAATCGCGCGTTAAAATTCATCGTGCCTCCTTCGTTACCATCCTTTGTCACCCTCGATCCCCTTTTTCCCCTCAGAGGTAGAATAAAAAAAATCTAGATACATCTTTTTCTTGATTTCTGATCTCAAGGATGAATGAAGGAAAAGGAAAAAAATGAGTTAAAATTCATTTATATTAAAACTCTCCCTATTCCATCCATTGAGAAAACCTGTGTCCCAGCAGTAGGGACATTAATAGGCTGATGATGATGATGAAAACTTTGACACTCTCCAATCCCACCTTTCGAGGTAATTTAGGTAACCATAACCATAAATGGCAAACTTTATTATTTATTTACAGAAGTATTCGTACCAAGTTTTAATTCTAGTTACTCAAAGAATTAGATTTCTCATA